TTCAATGTTTTGAACTTGTGACAGCCATTTTCTGTTTGTTTTACTTTGATGTTATCAAACAGAAGTTATATGGCAGTTTAAAGGTCTTGCAGATATAAACCGGGTGATTCAGTAATACGTAAAAATGGTTTCCACAGATATGTTGACATGCTACCAGAGGGTTTTCTAGGTGTAGAAAAAGCTAAATCTAACGAACCTATCGGCATGTGAATGTTTTTTCCTTTTCATTCTTTTTATTTAGATTAAGAAGAAGTGTCAGTTCGGCATTTTAAGCCTTAAAACATACCAGCTTCCTCAAAATGCCTTGCTTGCCTAACAGCTGGCTCCGCATACAGAAGCAGAATTCTACTTGATGTTAGTCTTAGTAAAGTTACAGTTCAAGCTGCTATCGAAACAAATGATTACTTGAACTAACTTTTTGTTCTCAAGATATGAGCTCATCATGTGTCAAATAATTTGGAGGAGACCTGCTTCTGGTTATCTGGCTGTTTCTGAAATTCATGGCCACATGTTATAATGGTGTTAAGTTTAGCTTGGTAAATTTGAGAGACATCTTGTATTGATTTAATGTTTTCAACAGCCTCTTAACCATTCTTAACCTGTTAGCTGTTATCTTTGCTGACCTTCCTTTTGAAATAAATGTGTTAATGGCTGACAAGTGAACTCCGTTTACCTCCTTTGCCTCTCAATTCTTTTCGGGTTTTTTTCCATTTCTCAATTTTGCTTTCTTGGAGAAAGACATGAGTAATGAGACTCATTAGCAGTCACCTGGAGAGAATAAAGTAACTGTGCTATAAGGTTGAGCCTCAATGTGTGTTGGACTAAACCATTTCTAAATTTGTAAGTCTGGCAGAGAGCTTCTATTATTTTTGTAATCATCCAACAGATTTATTCAGGCACTTAATTATGACATAATTTACATAGGGATTAAAAAATGTAAACAAAAGCAGTTTTTTCATTCCTGGCTTGGAAGGGCCCCTCCTGCTGGAGCTCCAGGTAGTACTTTTCTCTCCACTGCTACAACCTATTTTTTAAATGGTGTTGAGCATTTTTTTAGCCTTTCTGGAGGTTGTTGTTTTTTTTCATGGTTTAAATTTTATCTTTAGTCACTATTTTAATATCAGTTTGTTGTCATTTCTTTTGTCATAGTGTGTGGTGGTCCTGTGACAAAACTGAATATGTGGATGGAAAAAAACAAAAAGCAAACTTGTCTAACAGAATTCAGACTGTGTTGAAGAATAAAGGCGGTCAAATGAAATGTTGACTTTCAAGATGCATTGTATTTGTACAGTACAGCTGTACAAATATAGCATTTTTACACTATTTCTATGCATGTTTGCACTTGTCAGTAGATCCCTGCACTTATTTCTCAATTTCATAGCAAAACATGAAGAAATGAGGGATGGTTTGTGTCTTTTGCATGGTAATGTAGTTATTATCTCAACTTGAATCCCACTTGAGTCTGCAAATAAAAAAAAGTTTAATTTATGCAAATCTCAGACAACATCCTTAGAAATATATCTGTGCTAGCCCAATATCAAGTGAATCATGTAGCTGTCCATCTTTTTATGTGGACGTGAATGGATTGGATGGATGGATCGATGGATGGGTTGATCCTGATTTGAAGTGACTGTTGTGAAAATGCTGGGGTAATTAGCTCAGAGTGTTAAACACAGTCATATTACTTTGTATTATGTATATTTCATCGAGTTTTGTTTTCTGTACAGATGAAATAATAGCATCTGTTCCAGAAGAGCAAAAATACATGTCATGTAAGAAACATTACTTTTTTTGTCTTTTCAAGTGTTCGTCACTGATCACAGTGGGCGAA